CATTCCTGACATTTAAAAATTCTCCAACTTGATGGTATGTATACACCTCAAGAAGCATTATTTAAACAGCAGGTTTCAAAATTCAACTATTTTTAGTTACATATTTAAAAAATAAATTACCTTACCAGGTAAAATTATTATGTTTAGTTTTATATAGCTAAAAGATGGCTACATAGATTTTCTATTATATGAATGGTTTGACTGAGTCGATGTATGGAAAAAATCAGCCCTGCAGGAGAATGTTTCAGAGACTGAAATGGAGTCTATAATTGAAGTTCAGTATTCACTAGGCAGAAAAGGTTGTGGTGAAGGTTGCAACTATAATTTCAAAGGTTAAGCTGCATCTTTTAAAATGGATTCCCAAATCCAAACTTCAGAGGGGTTTAAACACAAAAGTTGATCAACAACATTATACTATGCATAAAATATTTCTCCCAGTATTAGTAAATTGTAAGGAGCTCATTGAATTCAGTCCCTTAACTGTTCTTCCCAGAACTGCTGAGCAGAAATGGATGAAGAGTTTGCTGACAAATCAGGTAGATTTATGCATCACTAATCCATACAGATCAGCACTCCTTGAAATGTAAATTTCAGAAACAGAGTAACATTTTCACAGATGCACACAGGTTTTGAGCCAACTGGTGGTTCCTGAATACTAGTCGCTTAAAGATTATCTGTAAACCTCAGAGAAAAAAAATGGAAAAAAATCTGTATTGATGCCTGCAGGCAAATGTATAGAAAGATATTTGCTTTCTTTGAGAAGCCTATAAAGGAACTTGATACAGACTTGTAAGATCTTCTGTTATTGGCAACTGCTATAAGCAAGCCTTTGTCTTCAACTTACATCTTTCACTAAGGAAAAAAAATTACACTTGCTTGATACAATTAAATAGACCTAACCTCAATAAAACCTTGCCTAAAGTGTGAAAAATGGTACAGTCAAAATGTTAGAAGGCATATGTAATGGAAAGTAATACTGGGGAATGATTAATGCTATAAGTTAATGGAATGACCTCTTCTGCAATATGGTGTTTACTATTTGTTTGACTACAGTGGGAGACACTAATCAGACTCTTACTCCACTGAGACCTTTCATTAGAAAGATACAATTCTGACTTTTTTTTAAACCAAAGTTGGACTATAGTTATTTATTCCTCTATTTCAGATGTACTTACCCACACTTACAAATCAGAGATTTACTAAATAAGGATACTCCAGAAAAGTAGAATAATTGGAAAAGCTCACTGAATGGTGAGTGTGTGATTGGCTCTTATTACTGAAATCTGTTTTATATACACATACATAGCAAAAGTAGGTAATTTAAATATTAGTCTGAAAATACAAGTGGCTCTGCACAATATTTAACATTCTGCTTTTATATTTGAGAGGTTTTGATTAAGGATATATTTTCCATTAATTCTGTGTGGGGATGATTCTACTTAACCTCAAGAGGAGTTGGCTGCAGATGTAAGAAAATGATAACCCATGGTGGAAGGATTGAATAGCTTCAGTTCCCATTTACTTTGGCTGAATTTCAAGATACATACAAGCCCAGTGCAGAAAGTACTGGATTCACAGATGTTAGGGCCAGAAGTGACTTTAAGATCAGCTACTCTGTCTTCCTATATAACAGACTTAAAATTTAATATAAACTATCTTTTCCAGAGAAGGCAGCCACTGTTACTACTCAGTAGTCAACATTTCTCACAGAGCAGAGATTACTACATGGCTCCATTGATGGAGCCATGTATATTAGGCTGATTGGCAAAGGGAAATGAAGCCGCGATTTAAATAATCGCAGCTTCATTTAAATTTACATGGCTGCCGCGCTAAGCCGACAAACAGCTGATCAGCTATTTGTTGGCTCAGCGTGCTAGTCTGGACGCTCCCCTGTCGAAATGAAAGTCTTTTATCGACATCCCCGGTAAACCTTGTCCTACGAGGCATAGCAGGGATGTCGATAAAAGGCTTTCAGGTCAGTGCGGAGCGTCCAGACTAGCACGCTGAGCCAACAAATAGCTGATCAGCTGTTTGTCGGCTTAGCGCGGCAGCCATGTAAATTTAAATGAAGCTGCGATTATTTAAATCGCGGCTTCATTTCCCTTTGCCAATCAGCCTAATATACATGGCTCCATCAATGGAGCCATGTAGTTTAGACACACCCTAGCTGTGGTGTGGTACAAACTATCAGTAATGGGTACAGCTAGCAGATAACACCTCCCAGTTTATTGGATGAGTAGCAGAACTCCCGCTCGTACCAGTGAGACTAATGTGGCTGTCTCACCACCTATCACTGTAAAACTGGAGTTACTGACAAGCAATGTTCCAACAGATCATGAAAACTATATTTTCTTCTTCTCTCCTACCTCACTGGGGCCAAGTCTTTTGGTAGATACAGCAGGTATGTGTTAAATCCCACGAAATATTCTTATTTGTACATTGATGGGTGATTTTTAAGAGACTTTTCATACTATGATAATTAAGACCAAAACCTAAATGTAAATGTTAGTACATTTCTCAGGATAACTATAACTGGCAAAATAGCTCCTGCCAGAATGATTAGACTAAATTTTCTTTTTTCAATATTGATACACATGAGAAGAGCTGGAACCTAAAAAGAGACCAGCATAATGCTGTTGAAATGATAATGAACAAACAATTCCTTATTCATGAATATAGACTTTATAGAAATCTGAGTAAATCATAATTGATATCTTGAATTTGATACCTTGTGAGTGCTATACCATAATATATACTTATTACATGAAATTACTTTCAACTCTGAGTACATCTCATGATCTGCAAATAGGAACTACAAAGAAAAAGTTATTCCATGCTTTGGAGAGCAGGCAATTAATATTTTTTCAGTAAAGAATATGTCAAATTAGATACGTAAACTAAATCTAAAAGAGCAATAGAACAATTAGCCACAGAAATACAAACAAGATAGTATTAATGAAAAATTGTTTTCTCTTTAAAAGTATGAACAGTTGTACAATTGTCACCATCTAATAAGAAATTTGTTTACAGATGTATTTATTATGCAGATCGATATTATATAAACCAAGGATGTTTTGGATCCTCATCTATTTGCTTCCTGAACCCCAAAATAGTAAGTTCCTCAAATTGTTAATTTTCTTCAGTAGTTTGAAGATATTGCATCCAAGTAATGAATGAGTGAGTGGTTTAATATTAACATCCTATATAAAAAGGAGCTTCAACACAGCTGGTAGGTATTCAAAACCATAGTTGGACTGGAGCCCCTTTATTATATGTTAGTTATTTAAGTAGGAAGTACTTTACAATAAATAGCTACTTCAACAGATTTTAAATTAAGGAAGCACTTTCGGAATCCCCAGTATTAACACATGTCATTATAGTACTGTATGAAAGTTCTAGAAATCAATGCCATTATTTTGGCACGATATAAAAAAATACTACCAACAAAAATGACAGAACAGTTAGAATGATACAACTTCAACTATTTGTATTTTGTACACTACTGAAAGCAGTCATTTTCCCAAAGGGACTCAAATGCTAATCATACATATGTAAATCTAAAGTCACTCCATTGAAAGTAATGGATTTGCAGCAGTAAAACGAAGGTCTAATTCTGGCCCAGAATAGTTGTACACAAGTATAATCCAACTTATTTCTCCCATGTTTAAAGGGCACCAGTGCTGCAAATAGACAAATTGTTTCCAAAATAACCACTTCTTGAGTTTTCAGTCTGAGCAACCCCAGAGAGTTTATAAAGGTAACTTTGAAAATAATTTATTTCAGGACATTTTAAGAAATGTTTATTCCAAATGTATTAATGCCAGTCAAATGAATGATTAACCATTCTGTAAAATTTTGCATTGTGCTCTCTGAAGAAGGAATAAAGTTGCTCTAAAACAGTGTTGTTGACAACAGGGTGGGGGCGCCCTTTGGATTCATGTAAGCATCTCTCTCTTCCATCACTTCGAATGCAATAGAACCCCTTGGTTTGGTTAAAATAAAAATTAGAAGAAACAATTCTGGAAGGAAGATTAAGAAACATTTCCACTTTTTGTAACTCAGGAAGAGGGTCCTTGATTAAAGTATCGCCATCCACTATGTGAATCTGATCTAAGTTGAAGTGCTTAAGCCACTTTTCCATATGGATATCATAAAGACTTCTCTGAATAGCCTTGTATTTGGTATTAAGTGCTCCATTTTTAATAACAATTTCTTCAAAGGGCTGAACACGCTTGTGGCTTTCTAGTCTGTTGTAATATACTTGGGTATAATCAGATATTACTCTCTCAGTGGGGTCTCTGAGAATGAGCAGCAGTTTAATAGAGCTATTCATGTCATGAATTCTTTCTGGAGCCTGTGGTGAGGTAAAATAGCCTGGTGTTTTCTCAATAGTAATTTGATTTTCATAAGAAAACGGCATCAAACTCCTATACCAGTCTATTCCTTTAACATAATTCTCATCCCAATCAAAGAAGTGGACTTCTGTGGTTGCTACCACAATATTAGGATGAATATCCAACATTTCCAATAAGGCCCTGGTTCCTCCTTTACGAACTCCAATAATGATTGTCTGAGGTATTCGTCGGTTTGTGCCAGGAGGTCTCACCTGTGAAGAATAGTGTTCACTTTTATTACTGAAAAATCCTATTTGTGACTTCAGAGTCTCCAGCAGGGCCCCATTCTCTACAGGAGCACCCTGAGTGTGAGTCAGCAAAAGATAAGCTGACACCAGGAGGAAGGCCATGTGGAGAAGAATCATTAGTTCAAAATTTGGTTATGCTTGGGTAGCGAAATAATAGGTGATTCCCTTCTTGAGGAGTTGGTTGACAGAACAGGGGGCGAACAAACAAGTTTCTGAAGCATCTGCAAAATAAAATAAGACTAATTACTATCACTGTACATGCGCATGAATGCATCATAGGTGAACTCAGACTTCTACCTAGTATTAACTACAGAGGAGAAAAGTTATCTAAAGCCATTTACTCCATCCCTCCCACTCGGTTTTTTCAGGACAGTAAAACAGAAAATTGACATTTTCTTGTTCAGAGCTATGATTAATCCAGGAGAATATTTGACAACTCAAACACTAGACTAGGCTTTTTACATCTTGCTATTTAAGACATGCCGATAATAATGATTCCATGATATTCTGGAGGATCAATGCATCTCCCCAAATTCACTGCTAGGATAAAAACATCAAGTTGATGCTTTAATTCATTCTCCAATGGGCTATGGGATGAAGCCTTGACTTGTAGCACAGAAAAATATGTATCTAGCAAGAGAAGGAGTGAATTAAGGCATGAAGCTTGGGATGCAAGCCCTTTGGATCAGTAAGGAGATGGACACAACAAATGTGTTGAGCAGGGCTACTCCATACGCGGCCTGTTTGTTTGCGGCCTGTGATGAGGTTTGGGTTTACTCTGGGCTCAACATGTGGCCCACAGGTGGGATCCTTTGAACATGGCCTCCACTGGCAACACGCTCCTCAATGGCAAGTCAATATAATGGACTTCTGTTGCTATGTGTTTTAGTAGTTAAATTCCTGGACTTCATTGCTCATTTAAAGTGATGTCATATGGGTGGAAATTGGGCAATTATTGCATTTTATTAATAGCAGCAGATCTGACTTAAATGGGGCCTGCATTTTGTGTAGTCTTGCCTTAATCATTGTATTCATGCCCATCAGTGTGAAAGAAGCTATTTGCATATACATTTGCCTGTGTATGCAACCACACTTACGTTACAGCCCTCAGCATGTGCTGTATCATTGTGGTCTCTGGGGCTTACAAAGTTGAGTAGCCCTGTGTTACAGCAAGAGAGATGGAGTCTGTGTCAACAATGTGAAGTGAGAGAGTAAACTACTATGAATGGATTTGTTATGAAAGGTCAAAGTAGTATATTGTGTGCATGCTCACATGTGTAGCTGAGTTGGGGGTTGCTGCAAGCGACTTAGGAGGGGAGTAGAATCCTTAGTCTCTCCAAGCAAAGCTAAAGTTTATTTCCAAGAGATAACTAGAATATATTCAGGGGACTCAAAGATTTGCTTGGGGCATGGGGGGAAGTTTGGATGGATCTGGGCTCTATTTACTATTAATTCAGCCTCAAACAGAGGAAAACTAGATATTAAGAGAGAGCAGGGATTTTCATTCTGTCAGTTGCAACTATCCTGCCCTTCCCACGTTGCTAAGGGGGATGCAGGTCCCAGCTAGGACCATATCCACCCACAAAATAGACTTTAAACAAAATTCCTACTGTTTTACTAATATTCAAACTATACTCTGTGTGAAACTCCTCTATATGCTATTTGGAAACTTAGCTATAACATCACAGCAACATTGAAAAAATAATTAAAAAAACTACAACATCTATCTGCACCAAGATAACTATGCTTGAATGTTGTGAACTGGATGTTCAATCCTTTAAGTCCTTCCTGAAGCAAAATTCACAGGGGAAGGACTTCTGGATTTTGCTCCATTTCTGGGCAGCAAGATGATTTTAATTGGTAACAAGCGTGTGTAGTAGACTCACAATATTTTTCTTAACAGGATTTATTTTTAATCCTAATAAAAGCTAGTGTGAAAACTAGTCTATTTGACAAGCTCTGGCTATAAATAGTGAAGTTATGCTATACAATGAAGGAACAGTCACTTAAAACAAGAACCACCTATTTCAATTCTATTTTAAACCTCTATCTTACTCTTGGATTTTAAAATGGTTTCAGTTATTGCAATTATAGCTCTTTTCAGATTTTTTTTTTTTAAAAAACATTTACCACATTAGTTCATTAATAACCTCTTATTTAGTACCTCAAATAAAGTAGACACATTCTATTTGTCATGGCTCTGAAGAGGATACACAGCCTCCCTTCATTATATTCCTTTCAGCAATTGTTTAGCATGAATTATTGGCAGCTTAAAGGCTTAAGTTATCATGATAATATTGTCAAAATTTTATGATAGTTCCTAATATTGGATAAGTAAAGCTTCAAATTCACTAAATAACAATTCTAAATCTAATAAAGGGCCAAATCCAACTGCCTTTCAAATCAATGGAAAGATTCCCATTGACTCTAAAGTCAATTTGATCTGACAAATTATAAGCAATATTAATCAGCCAATCCCAAAAGCTTGCTGACTATATCTACAACTTTAATTTTACTTAAAAATATTGCTTCCTCCTGTGGAACTAACTGCCCACAAGACACTATCCACATTGAAGCATACCCCAGGAGGGCTTAAAATTCAATTTATATTTTCAGAGTAGGTTAAAGACTGGATTTTTCTAGTATTAAAATGTATCCATCCATGCCTATGTTTATATATCTGTCCCTCCTTTTGAATAGGCTGCTGCTTCTGGGGTCTTTTGCTGGCAGCTCTGGGGGTATGTCTACACTACCACCCTAGTTCGAACTAGGGTGGTAGTGTAGACATACCCCCAGAGCTGCCAGCAAAAGACCCCAGAAGCAGCAGCCTATTCAAAAGGAGGGACAGATATATAAACATAGGCATGGATAGATACATTTTAATACTAGAAAAATCCAGTCTTTAACCTACTCTGAAAATATAAATTGAATTTTAAGCCAAAACAAACCCAAGAGAAGAGTCCAAAACAGAATGCCTCTAGTCACAACCAGATTAAATATTGTTATAGTTTTACCAGTTGAAAGAAAACTTCTGTTTAAAGGGTCGTATACATATTTTATTATGAGTTTTCCACTCAAGATTTATTTTAATTCTGGAACATTTTAGACAAGAGGTAGAGTGTGTGGGGACCTCTGGGCTGGGGCAGAGGATTAGGGTGGAGGGGGGGGCTCCACGCTGGGGCAGTTTGTTAAGGTGTAGGCTTGGGGCTAGGTTTGGGGTACAGCTCCATGTGATGCTTATCTAAGGCAGCCCCCATTGGCCACAGTTTTCAGTCAACGGGAGCTTTAGAGACAGCAGTTGGGGTCAGGGATAGTATATGGAGCCCCTGTGGCTGCACCTCTGCCTAGGACTTAAGTTATCATGGGAAGGAAATGCCAGCTGATTTCTTGGCCTACAGCCAGATCAAGTAGGGAGCCTGTCTTAGGCCTGCTTCACCACTGACTGGAGTTCCAATGGTCTGGATCAGCAGCACCGATCCATTTTTGATCAGATGGGCCATTAAAAAACGAGATACCCGGCAACCCTATTTAGGGGACAACAAATGCAAGGTGTTTTTTTTTTTTTAAATCACCACTATGATGTGCACATACCCCTTGAGTAATTTGTAGCCACATTTTCAAAAATAGCTATTTTTGGGGTGCCCATCTTGAGAAAGCTTGGACCTAGTACTAAGCACCTAAAACTGCACAGATTTTTCAAAAAGTTCTGAAAGCACTTTATGTAGAGCTCTCAAAATTGAGATAGCTAAAACAGAGGTTCCTTATGAAAATTTTATCCATAGGATTTGAATGCAAGTCAGATGCTACAGTCTACGAATTTCCAACTTACATCTGTGGCTCAATAATTCTGAATGCTTTGCACAGTTATGAAGCCAATTCTATTTTTTTTAAATCTCTCTTTATGAAAATCACAAACAGAAATGCCATGACATATATATACACACACCTTAGATATACTTTTTGGTTTAAAGATGTAATGGGAATAAGAACACATTAAAACATTGTAATTGTAAATGAAAATGTGATGGAAATTAAAATCAACCCTGTCATGCCTAGGCTTAGTCTTTTCTTTAGAACTAGGCAGGTATAAAACATGAAATGCTGCTTTCTTCTAGCTTCCTGCCTAGAGTCAGTGCAGGCAAGGAGCGTAACAAATCTCATACTCAGCTACACAGGAGGAGGCTTGTCTACAGAGAGACTCCACAAACGTGCAGTGCATTGTGGAATATAGTTTCATCATGGGCCCATTAACACCAAGGTGGGCTTTGTTAGTGAGCTGGAGGAGGGGTCATGGCCTGTGCATTCATTAATTGGGCAGTCATTCACCAAAAAATCATGCTGTTTCCACTACTTCCACCATCTTCTGAGTCAGAAGACTTATAGTATGGGTGTGCCTGATATTATAAGTTAATGCTGGGATCCTATTCTTCACCCCTCACTCCTATTATTCTCAACACACAACCTGCTAACTTGGGCTGCGTACCCTTTACCAGAATTTCAGCATTCAGTATGAATATTCCCCTCCTAGTACTACTACAGATGCCCCAGGCAGTCGTTAACATTAAGAAATAAAGAGAGGGCTGGCAACAGCAACAGAAAAGGGTGGAGAGAAAATAGGGAGGGCAATGGGAGAAAAAAAAATTAATCATTGCAAAATGATGTCATTCTTGTCCTATAAAGGTATGTCTACACTGCAGTTAAACACTGGCAGCTGGCCCATGCAACCAATTTGGGCTTGAGGGACTTGAGTTATGGGCTGTATAACTGCAGTATAGACATTTGGTCTCAAGCTGGAGCCCAAGTTCTGGGACCCTCTCCGCCCACAAGCTCTCAGAGCTCAGGCTACAGCCTGAGCCTGAATATTTACACTGCAATTAAATAGCCCCATGAGGCTGAATCATCTGTCACAAGCCAGCCACCAGTGCTTAACTGCAGCACAGACATGCCCTAAGACTCCTGTACCTCAAAGGTGATTATCTCAGTGTTTAATTCAACTATAAACACCGGTGCTAGTCTGGAACACTTTTTAGAGGAGGGGTGCTAAGATGCATTCCCTTTCCCTTACTTCTGTCCGCGCATCTCACCACCTTCTAGGTCTGGCACTGACAGCCGGGACCCCACATATGGTTGCCAGATGGTTGAAACAAAAATACCGAATGCCCGCCCCCCCACCCCTCAAAAGAAACACTGGGACAAAATTCTGATGAAGAAAAGAAAAGGG